GGTCGGCTGCACACACTGGCAGGCCTGATTGCTGCTTCGCATAGGAAGGAGCCAGCGCGATTGCGCGAGGCCCTCCAGCAGCGTGAACACTTTGCGTTCCACTACGACAAACAGCCCGACTGGGCCGACTGGCACGCGCTCCTCGGCCACCTGCGTGACGACATTAAGGCGAGCTTGGCAGCTTGGGCCGCGGAGGCCGCCGGTGGCCGTCCGCCTCGGCCCCGGCCGCCCGCGCCCGCGCGCGGCCCCGGCGCGGCCCGCGCCGCGACGCCCCGCGCGGCGCCGGCGCCCCGTCGCAGCTGGTGGCCCGACCTGTTCGGACCACCCTTGATGGCGAGCTCGACCCGTACGCCGACCTGGAGTCGGCCAGCCAGGGCGGCTTGGCGGTGGACGGCGGCCCCGGCGGCGCAACCAGCGGCCCCAGAGCCGCTCCCGTCGGCCTTGCATGCGGGTGGCCCCCCGCGCCGGGGGGGGGCTGGCCGCCCGCGCGGGAAATGGCCTGGCCGAACTCGGCCAACCCGCGCGCGGGCCTCGCGGGCCCCCCGGCGGCGCGCCCAGCAGCCCCAGAGGCGTTCCCGGCGGCCTTGGCGGCGGCCTGGTCGCAGGCGTACCTTTAAGGATGCGTCAAGGTACGCCTCAGCTGCGCCGCCCCCGGCGGCCCTGGCGGAGGCCGCCGGCGCGGCCTGGGTCGCGGAGCTCGGCATGGCGCAGCATGCATGGGTGCTCAAGGTGCTGGCGGCGACGGCCGAGCGCCTTTGCAGAGAGTAACTCATGGGCGCGCGCTGCAGTGGGGCGGCCTGGAGGGGTGCCCTGCGGGCCGACTTGGCCGAAGGCGCCCCGATGCTCCACCTCTGTGCCAAGGGGCCAGGCAGCGTCGACCCCGAGATCACGGTGGCTGCGCAGGCCGTTCACGACAGGGCGGCAGACCCTGTGGCGCTGTTGGCGCAGTATCGTGGTGACTGAAAGCGGCACTGGCGCGGGCTCGAGCCTCCGCCGGCGGCCCGGCGAGCTCCAGCAGGCCCTCCGACGCCTCGGTGACGGAGGACGGGCAGGGCTACGAGCACCTGTACGTCACAGCCGACAACGTCGGCAGGTCGGCCAGCCGCTTCAAGCCGCCCCAGCAGGGACCCACCCTCGACGCCTCGGCTGGCTCGAGGACTTCGACGCCACTGCCGCCCCGCTGAATGTGGTGACGGCGTCGGGCGTGCTGCCCACGCGCAAGAAGGAACTGATGTCGGCGCAGTACCCCCAGCCTTTGGGTGGTGGGACCGGCTCCCCGCGCCGCGGCTCACGCGCCTCCTGCCTCCTCTGACGGCGCGGGCCTTTTCTCGACGACGGCGCGACGACGCGCCCGCCCGCGCCGCGCGCTTCTCTCCCCGACTGGCGCCCCGCGCTGCAGCTGAGGCGCCCGCTGCCTCGCGCGACGGCGCGGGCTCCCCCGACGGCAGCGGCGATGGCCCAGCATCGACGACGACAACGACGACCGCGACGACCACCATTCAGCGACGGCCAGGACGTCCGAACACCCCGCGGAACACGGCAACCGACGACCTGACCCGGAGCACGCCTCTTCCTCACGACGAGCAACCAGCTGGAGGTCTTTCTCCAGCCCCTTCATGACATCACCCGCGCCGCGAGCAACTCCAAACCCTACGACCCAAGCCACCACTACGACGGCCTACAGTGCCTCTACCCCTCTGGAATATTGAGGGGGGGATGGGTCCAACTTTGAAGTTGCGAATGTATCTGGATCACATTTAAAACCTTCCGCTCAATAGATCTGTTTATCTACCTGTCGAATTCATGACCTATCGCAGTACATACACCAATCGCACTGCTAATGTATACACCAACCTATGTGGCGAGATCACGGTCAATCTATCGATCGATCTCACGATGTGAAAATATAGACTACCAGATGATGTACGTATGCAGTGGGTTTATCAGCGATCTGAAGATCCCTCTGTTGTTATATAAGCACGTTTATACATACATACGTATACATGCGCGTCGACCGATACGGGCATCATGTATATGGCAAAGACGTTGTCTATCTACCGATCCCACTGTCAACCTGCCACTCTGAGTTTGAATGAATGTATATACCGAACTGCCGATCGGCCTCGCAATCTTTCCACCGACCTCACTATCTACCAATCCATCGATCCCACGATCTACAAAATGACACACACACACTGACCCATCGATCAAGCCGTATCAATATCAATGGATCGATTCTGAGACCGACAGATCGATGTCAACCTTGACTAGTTTGGCTGTTTTCCTGCCGACCTAATGATTCATATGATACCTCGCGATCCACCAGTTCATCGCACTACCTCTGTACCAATACCACTGTCAGCCCGCGTCCTCTCCTAGATGTGCTTCCACACCCAAGTCCGCACACGACTTGGTCGCACCCACACTGAACCGACGTTCGTCTACAGGAGCCCCCGCAACGTCACATGCCCACGCCGACCCGCCCCGACGAAGCGTCAATGGCCGCCGCGCTTACACCGACAACGACTTCGACCGTGTCCATCCGCGATAAAAGAACTCCACCCGGACCCAGCCCACACCCTGCTAATAGCGCGCGACGAGGTTGGGCCCCAAGAGAGCATCGACTGGCATGCCCTGCATTGCGGATGGCATGTTTCGGAAACGACGTGTTCCGCGCGATTTGGACGCACAGCAAGCGCTACCAAATACGGAGGCGAGCAACTATGTCATGAATGCGAATATGAGGTAATGGCACTGTGCACGGAACGTAGGTAACGAAGACAGGGTTGAAACTACACATTGGCTCTAACAAACTCATCGTCGATGTCGGCAGACGTTGCCTGACGCGCACGGCACGACCAAAGCACCGGCACGACACCTGCAATCACGGTGCACGATGACGGGGAACAAGGTGGTTGAGATCGAGCTGCGTCTGCAGGCCGCGAGAGAGACACGGGGTGTGATGGGGCAGCGTTAGCACGAGCGCGGGCTTTGTCGACTTAAGCGAAAGCTGTTCCTCGGCACGGTGGAAACGCCTCGCGAGGCTCGAAGCCCGCATTAGCTCTTAGTCCGAAACTGCTAAACTCGACGCGATCGTGGTTTACTACCAGCGCGAGCTAATGAATGGACCAGCAGCAAACTAGACTGGTACCAAATCATTACGCGCAAGAAGTGCAACTCCTGAGTCGTATTCATCGTGAAAGAGCCCACGCTTGCGGATAATGGCCAGCGGAGCGCTACTGCCAACCCGTGGTTCAGGCGGAACCTCTGATACACAGGGACAGGGTCCATTATACTGAGACCACCTCTGCGACTCGACCAGGACATTCATTCATTACTGCGTTCCCGATACAAACTGGACCACCACGACGACTGCGAGCACGGTAAACAGCACCTCCAAGGCACAAGGTCTGAGTTCATGGACTGCCACCATGCTACCATTGCACCCGCGCCATTTTTTATCACGACATGCCAGTGCAGATAACGACGCCTAGACGACAGCGAGTCTTGGCGTGGAGCACCACCACTCTGAAGGTCACAGGCAGGAACCTCCACCACGATGGCGATTATGACATCCGAGCTCCATACCAAGACAGTGCCGATGCAGACAGCGATCACCTCAACGACTACGAGTACGACGTCTGGGACACCCACACTTCACAGGGTCCACGTGCAAAGTCATCCAAAACGACTGCGATGATTAACTATGGCATCCCAGACTGATGCCAAGAAAATGCCAACACCTACAGCGCCCCACCGCGGCTGCGAATATCCACCGCACTACCCCGCCTTACCTCCCCTCGACCATGCCCACGGAAAAACGATCTCCATACCTGCAATGACACCGGAGAAAAACCCAATAAGATTGTTGTTGGGGCTATGGAGCTGTAGGGCTATAAATCTATAAGGTTATGAGGCTATAGGGCTATAGGGCTATAGGGCTATTCGGCTATAAGGCTATAGGGCTATAAGGCTGTAGAGATATAGGGCTATAGGGCTATTAGGCTATGGGGCTATACGGTTATAGGGCTATAGGGCTATTGGGCTATAGGGCTATAGGGCTAGAGGGCTATAGGGCTATGGGGCTATAAAACTATGGGGCTATAGGGCTACCGGCCACCGAAATCGGCGACCCACCTCACCTAAACCTTTAATCCGCTAGGACCCCTACAGAGGCAAGCTCTGATTGGGGAATATTCGAAAAACCTATCGCGACATAGTCGACAACTGTTAAAACACATCCCGAACCTCCACCAAAACGCAACAACGTGTTTGATTCACGCTCATGACAGAACGGACCCCACCACTTCAGCACGACAATACAGGCCACCTCCGCACGACGCGAAACGCGACCATTGGGAGACAAGTCGTTTCAAATGAATGGCTCTCCTCCAATCCTTGGCTCCACTAGAGGCCGTTCTCTTTGACGCCTCCTCCGCCTTCTCCTCCTCCTCCTCCTCCTCCACCTCCTCCTCTTCCTCTTCCTCCGCCTCCTCATTTCTCCCTTCAACACGCGGCCACGATCTAATGACGCCAAGTTCGCTTCGCGCTGACGTCGGCGCTGACTTCTCACACCGCCCTGCACCAACCTTGAATGATCGCAGCTGTCCGATAGCGCAGATCACTCGATATCGCACGATTCCAGGCCACTGGCGGCGTCCAAGAATGAACGCCCAAGCCGAAATCGCCGCCGGGTCAACGCGGCGCAAACCTACCGTACTCAATTCGCGCTCTGCGTCCCCCCCACCCGACGAGATTACATCCTCCGCGGGGGCCCTGTGGCGTGGCGCAGTCACCACTGCGCCTCGTCCACCAGCGGGGGCCCGGCCGTCGTCGTTCCCGCCGTCGTCGATCAGGCCGTGGCGGCCACCAGGGAGGCAGCCAGGCAGTCGTCGACCTTCGTGTTGTTGACGCACCCCGAAAAGCTGGGGCTCGCGGACGGGCACGGGAACGTGCCGCCGGATCCCAGCGCAGGCGGACAGCACTGGTCGCCCGCGCACATGCTGCTGGACCCTGGGCACTGCACATTGGCTCCCAGAGCGCAGGCGTTCGCCGTCGTAGTTGTTGTCGTCGTCGTTGTCGTCGCCAGGCAGTCGTCGACCTTCGTGTTGTTGACGCACCCCGAAAAGCTGGGGCTCGCGGACGGGCACGGGAAGGTGCCGCCGGATCCCAGCGCTGGCGGGCAGCACTGGTCGCCCGCGCACATGCTGCTGGACCCTGGGCACTGCACATTGGCTCCCGGAGCGCAGGTGTTCGCCGTCGTTGTTGTCGTTGTCGTCGTCGTCGTCGTCGTCGTCGTTGTCGTCGCCAGGCAGTCGTCGACCTTCGTATTGTTGACGCACCCCGAAAAGCTGGGACTCGCGGACGGGCACGGGAACGTGCCGCCAGATCCCGGCGCAGGCGGGCAGCACTGGTCGCCCGCGCACATGCTGCTGGACCCTGGGCACTGCACATTGGCTCCTTGAGCGCAGGTGCTCAACTCCACCAGGGAGGCAGCCAGGCAGTCGTCGACCTTCGTGTTGTTGACGCACCCCGAAAAAAAAAAAAAAAACAAAAAAAAAAAAAAAAAAAAGAAAAAAAAAAAAAAAAAAAAAAAAAAAAAAAAAAAAAAAAAAAAAAAGAAAAAAAAAAAAAAAAAAAAAAAAAAAGAAAAAACAAAAAAAAAAAAAAGAAAAAAAAAAAAAAAAAAAAAAAACAAGCTGGGGCTCGCATACTGGGCACTGAACGTGCCCCGGATCCCAGCGCCGGCGGGCAGCACTTGTCTGCCCGCGTCACATCCTGCTTGGCCCTGGGCACTGCACATTTGCTCCCAGATCGTCAGGTGTTCGCCGTCGTTGTTGTTGTCGTCGTCGTCGTTGTCGTCGCCAGGCAGTCGTCGACCTTCGTGTTGTTGACGCACCCCGAAAAGCTGGGGCTCGCGGACGGGCACGGGAAGGTGCCGCCGGATCCCAGCGCTGGCGGGCAGCACTGGTCGCCCGCGCACATGCTGCTGGACCCTGGGCACTGCACATTGGCTCCAGGAGCGCAGGTGCTCAGCTCCACCAGGGAGGCAGCCAGGCAGTCGTCGACCTTCGTGTTGTTGACGCACCCCGAAAAGGGTCCTCGCATACACCGCGGGAGACGTAGCCGCCGTATTGGCGTGCGTGGCGGGCAGCAAACTGTCGCCCGCGCGTTGCTGCTTGACCCTGGGTCAAGCAGACATTGGCTCCCAGACGCAGGTGTTCGCCGTCGTTGTTTTTTTGTCGTGCGTCGACGGCCGTTGTTGTCGTGGCCAGGCAGTCGTCGACCTTCGTGTTGTTGACGCACCCCGAGAAGCTGGGGCTCGCGGACGGGCACGGGAAGGTGCCGCCGGATCCCAGCGCCGGCGGGCAGCACTGGTCGCCCGCGCACATGCTGCTGGACCCTGGGCACTGCACATTGGCTCCCAGAGCGCAGGTGCTCAGCTCCACCAGGGAGGCAGCCAGGCAGTCGTCGACCTTCGTGTTGTTGACGCACCCCGAAAAGCTGGGGCTCGCGGACGGGCACGGGAACGTGCCCCCGGATCCCAGCGCCGGCGGGCAGCACTGGTCGCCCGCGCACATGCTGCTGGACCCTGGGCACTGCACATTGGCTCCCAGAGCGCAGGTGTTCGCCGTCGTTGTTGTTGTCGTCGTCGTCGTTGTCGTCGCCAGGCAGTCGTCGACCTTCGTGTTGTTGACGCACCCCGAAAAGCTGGGGCTCGCGGACGGGCACGGGAACGTGCCCCCGGATCCCAGCGCCGGCGGGCAGCACTGGTCGCCCGCGCACATGCTGCTGGACCCTGGGCACTGCACATTGGCTCCCGGAGCGCAGACACCCAGCACTCCGCTCGCCTGCTGCGCCACCCTGCTCTGCAGAAGAGCGGCACCTTCCTCCTCTCCTGGGTGGCACACGCCGCCCCTGCAGGTCTCCGCGCGATCTCCAGCCTCGGCGGCCGCGAGGGCCAGCGAGGGCAGAAGGAGCGCAGCGATACGGGACATCATGGCCGCGGGAGCTGGGGCAGGATGGACTGAGGGACTGCGTATGCTGTCGCAGGGGATCCTGCACGCGGGGCAAGTGAAGAAAATGCGGAGAGGAGGAGACAGGGGTGGGAAAGTTCGAGGAAGACGAGACAGAGAGGGAAGGTGCGGAAGGAGAAACAGCAACTCACCCAGCTCGCTGGAACCCCGGAGACGGCACAGTCTATCAGAACGTGCCCTGAGACGAGACGGCTTGAGCCAGCATGTTTGTGGACAGAGGGGGCGGGTCGGGGAGTACGCGGAGGGAGGAGGCCCCGAATCTACCGCGCTGCTTGCGCGAGGGAGTTTGGCAGAGGAAGGCATCGATGCCTCGAGATCTACGCAAAGCGTGACGACGAGGGAAGGAAGCACGAAGAGGATAGGAAGGGGAGGGAGAGAGAGAGAGAGAGAGAAGCGGGTAGAACGCCGCAGGCCTTCTGGCCGCAAATCCAGCAGACGTGGTGGCCCGCGGCAGGGGGCGAAGCCCCTGAGTCCCAGCTGCTCTCAGGGCGCAGATGGTTTAGCGAGTTGGCCCTTTTAAAATGTCATTACAGTCAACCCGTATCATAAGGACGCACGAGAAACATGCAAGGGCCTTGGAAGGCCAAGTCGCCACTTGTCGGGCGGGGCGCGGAAAGCGAAAGCGGCCAAGGATGGGCCAGAGGGGCAGGATGCCAGGCGGTAATCTTGGAAAGGTGCTCGTCCTTCCTATACGGGTTGGCTGCATTCCCCTTCGGAGAAGGGTGCACCACCCCCCCCCCCTCCTTCACCACCACCCCTCACTACTTCCCCCCTCCCCTTCAACCCCCCCCCCTCCCCCCCCCCCTTCACCCCCCCTTCACACCCCGTCACTTCACTCTCCCCATTCACCCCCCCCCTTCCCCTTCGGAGAAGGGGTACTCCGCGGCGCAGTGTCCCCCCCCCCTTGCCTGTGGACCGGGATGCGGCCGGCAGCCCCGCGCGGTGGCCGCCCCAGGCCGACCACACGGAGAAGAGGAGGGGCGAGGCACGCGCGAAGATCCTTGCCGGGCGGAGCCTCGGACGTGAGGGCTGTGGTGCCCCCCCCCCCCAAAAAAAAAAAAGAGGCGAGCTCCTGGTTGGGGCCCTCTTGGGGCTCTGGGGTTTGGGCCGCTTGCAGGCGCTGCTGGACCCTGGAACCCGAGGAGCCCTCCAGGGGCAGTCCTGCGATCGGCATGGCGTCAGGTTTGTACAGGTGGTCCGGCTTGCCTTGTCGCCACGATGTGCAACGATCCTGGGGCGGGGCTCACGCGCGTAAATCTGGGACTGTCCCCTATTGATATATGCACCCCCTCCCCCAGGCGACCGGCGGCCAACCAGGAATCATGCTCTCACCACCCCACCATCCCAGACAAAAAACAATTACAACACGCACTCTGCCTCCAAGTACGGGGCATGCGCAACCAACCCGACGCGGGCTCCCCCCACTATCTCTTTCAAAGAACAATACACGGTACACTTTGGGGCAAAGTCTGGAGTCAAGTTCGTGAGGCCCGCGAGCACTTTGTACTGTTTTGTTGACAGGGACGGCGGAGGTGTCAGCATACTGCCTGCTGTGCGCCGGGCTACCATCCCTGACCAAAGACAATACAACATGCAACTCGCGGCTGAATCTGGATCAGGCGCCGCCACCCCGCGAGCATTGTCAAGTGGTTTTAGACAGGGACGGCGGGGGTGGTGGCGTATGGCCTGCTGTGCGCATGCTCACCAGATACAATAATGGGCATTGGTTTTCGACAAGGATGGTGGGGGCCGACATGTTTCCCGATGTGTGCTGTCACGTGCGCAGGCGCACCTGACACACTCTGCACGTCCCCCGAACGTGGCGCACCAGGCGCGGCTGGAGTATGCGGCACACCTGGCGCACGCGGAGGCACGTGGCGCATCTGGCGCACCAGGCGTGGCTGGCACGCTCGGGGCCCAGGAGTGCCTGGCGCGCGTGGCGCCTGGCTCGCGTGGCGCCCCTCGCCCCAGCGTCGCGCACATGGGCTCGGTTTTGGTTCCCACTAGCTGCCCATCCAAAGACGACCGCTGAACATGCTGAGGCTCGGATGTTACTTATGTGCTGGGAGGGCGGGTGGGAGTGAGCTAGACGGCCTACTATCCTGAGGGTGTCTCGACCCCTCCCCCTAACCCCCTCCCCTGGACCTGGACGGGTGGGGCCGCGAGGGGTCAGAGCGTCCAAGATGGCCCAAGACGGCTCCAAGAGGGCCTCAGAGAGCCCACGATGACCCCCAAGAGGGCTCAAGATAGCGCAAGGTCGCTCAAGATGGCTTCCAAGATGCTCCAAGAGGCCCCAAGACCGCCCCAAGACGGCTCCTAGAGGCCCCAGAGACTCCCAACGAGGCCCCCGAGAAGCCAAAATCCTTCAGAAACTCAAGGAAAATCAATGATGTGTGCATCGCCCGTTCGCTTTCGATACCCTTCCGAGGCCTCGTGGTAACTCCATGATGGCCGAAGAGGGCCCCAAGAGAGGCCCAAGAGAGCCCCAAGACGGCCCCAAAAGCGCTCAAGAGCGCCCCAAGGGTGCTCCAAGAGGGGTCCAAGAGGCAACTGTAGGCACTCTGGAGGGGCAAGGCTAATTGCGACACTCCCCTTCGTTGATCGATATCATCCAAGATGGCTCCCAAGAGTGCCCTCAGGGGCCCCCAAGAGACGCCCAGACGGCCCCAAGAGGCGCCCAACAAGCTTCCAAGAGGCTCCCAAGAGGCCCCCAAGCGACCCCAAGGCTCCCAAGAGCGCCCAAGAGGGTCCCAAGAGGCGCCCAGTCGGCCTCTAAGAGGCGCCCAAGGGGCGCCCAAGAGGCTCCCAAGAGGCCCCCACGAGGCCTCAAGAGGATCCCCGAGGCACCCAAGACGCTCAACGACGGCCCGGGGCCCGCCAAGATGCCCCCAGACGCTCCAAGAGGCCCCCAAACAACTCCCAATAGACATCCGAGGAGGCTCTTATGTTCGTCCTTGTTTCTCGGCCTCGTCTGCCTCCTTCTCCTTCTCCTGCTCCATATCCGACTCCTCCTCCACCCTCCTCCTCTTGTTATTATTAGTCGTCATAGTATTATGTATGATACTTGCCAGTATGAATGCTACGATTCGTGTTCGTAGTTTTATTACTATGGCCATTACCTCCTTAGTATTAGTATGGTCGTTGTTCTCATGATCAGTATGGTTCGCATCATTATCAGTAGTATGATTAGTCGTCTTAGTCGTATTATTAGTGTTAGTAGTATTAGTCTTAGTTGTGTTAATCGTATTCATACGCTTCTTAGTAGCATCAGTAATCGTCTTAGCCTGAGTAGTGTGACTCTTATTGGTCTGATCATGAGTACTAGTGTTGTTCATCGTATTACAATTTCCGTATTCGTATGAGTCGCAGTGTTCGTCTTAGTATTCGTCTTATTCCTCCTCCTCCTCCTCCTCCTCCTCCTCCTCCTCCTCCTCCTCCTCCCCCTCCCCCACCTCCTCCTCCTCCTCCTCCTCCTCCTCCTCCTCCTCCTCCTCCTCATCATCATCATCATCATCATCATCATCAGCATCCTCGTCCTCCTCCTGCTCATTCTTCTCCTTGTCACTTCGGAGGAAATTCAGAGGAGGCTCCGAGAGTCACTCAAAAGGCTTATGGCTGTTATGTTCGCCTTTGTTTCTCCTCCTCCTCCTCCTTCATCTCCTACTTTTCTCCTCCCTCCTCCTCTGGCGGCCTCGGCTCCTCACTCTGCCTCGCTCCTCCACCTCCCTACAGCCTACTCCTCTTCCTCTCCTCCTCCTCCTCCTCCTCCCGCCTCCTCCTCCTCATCATCCATCATCCTACCCTTTCCTCCTCCTACCTCCCCCCTCCCCCACCTCCGACTCCCTCCTCCTCCTCCTCCTCCTCCTCCTCCTTCGCTCTCCGCGCTCCTCCGCTCTCCTCCCCTCCTCCTCCTCCTCCTCCTCCTGCCTCAAAGCCTCTCGCTCCTCCTTCCTCCTCTTCCTCCTCCTCCGTCCTCCTTCCTCCTCTTCTCCTCCTCCTCCTCCTCCTCCTCCTCCTCCTCCTCCTCCCCTTCCCTCCCCCCTCATCCTCCTCATCCTCCTCCTCCATGTCCACGTTCGCATCCTTTTTCCTCCTCCTCCTCGCTCTCCCCCTCCTCCTCCAACGACGTCGACGACGACGACGACGACGACGATTCCTTTTCCTTCTTCCCCCTCTTTTGAAACGACGGTTTCTCCAGCCCTTTGTTTCTCTGTATGCTCCCCCACGTCCTTGATCAGGGCAACTCGCCTGGGCATCGGTTTTGAATGGGCTGGTGGGGATACGGGAAGCGTCAAGAAGTCTGTGCGCATCGGGTAACAGGAAAACGGTGGGCGCTTGGCAATTCCGTCGAATAAGCCCATGCGGGCGACACGATCGCATGTCAAACACGTTCGCGCGCATGTCAAAAACGGTCAACATACACCGCGCGCCCACCAACTCTGTCAAATAATCCGCCACCGTGCGTCCTGCACGGAGTGGGCGTGTTCGCGTGCCCGTCTGTTGTCGCGAAGGTTTCTTCACTCTTTCTAGGGCAACCACCACCCCGTACCCGCAAGCTTGCCTAAAAAAGCACCCCCCACCCCACCCCCAGGAATTGCCTCTCCAGCGCTAACGTTTGCCTCCAGACGCCCAAGATGGCCTCCAAGATAATTTCCAAGAGAGCCAAAAAGACGACCCAAGATCCAAGATGGCCCAAGACGGCTCAAGAGGCTCCCCAAGACGG